CTCTCTCCTTTATTTTTCAGACATGGTTTCACTATGTAGTACAGTCTGAGCTCAAACTCACTATGTAGCCTAGGATGGCTTCAAACTTGCATTGATTTTCCTGCCTCAGCCTGGTAATACAGGCATGCACCACCATGCCTATCTGCCCACATCATTTCTTAATTTTCTTTTTTGTTATGTATTTAGGACAGAGTCTACAGGGTCTCACTATGCAGATCAGACTTGTAGTGATTTTCCTTTTTTCAGCCTCCCAGGCATGCGCCACCACGTCTTCTCAATTTCTGTCTCAGTGCACCTGGGGGCAGGACTCAGCATGGCACTCTGGCGATCAAACCCAGGAACCTAGGCTGCTGTGCTCTGCCTAAGCAAGTGCTTTAATCTGTTGAGCTATTTGGCTGGCCCTAAAACTTGAGAAGGATTTTTTTTTATTTTTTATTTTTTATTTTTTTGGCTGGCTCAGGCTGCTTCAAGGGCAGGTCTCCTGTGGCATGTGGAGGTGGGGATGGAACCACGCCTGACTGACTTTGCCAAATCATGGGCTTACTCAACTGAGCTAACCAGCAAGCCCCCCATTTCTTAATTTTCTGAATGTCTAAATTTTCTCATCAATATATAACACCCTCAGATGAAAGTTGACATTGTCTTTGTTTTCACAAGTTCTTCTTAGTATCAAACTTCAATAATGGTAGTTTAGTAAAATTAAAAAAATAATTTGATGATTGTTTAATACGGGATTGGATAGTTGTTTCTTTTTTTAAGTTTTGGGTTTGTTGTTGTACACAATAGCATAGGACTCATTACAGACCTCATTGTTACAGTATCAAGAGTACTTCCATTGCTTGGTTCAGGTAATCAAATCAGATAAAGAAGAGGCTTACTTCACAAAATGTCAAGAGTCCAGAAAAGAACTCAAGCAAGATCACTAGAAACAAACTTGGAGAACAATACTTCTGAATTATTAGTAAAATCCTGATATTCTGATTTATTCTTCCTGTATTCGTTGGTGTATATTTGGTAAGTATTATGAAGTGTGGGTTTTTGTTGTGATGAAAAAGGATTATTAATTAATGAGATACCACTATTGAGGGTAAACTTAACCAATAAAAATCTGTCAGAATTTATTCCTAAGATGTCATCTTATAAGTAAGTAATGGGAAAACAAATTTGAAAGACTAACTCAGCCAGGCCGTCTTTGCATTCATTACACTATTTTATACAAGGATCCAAAGGTCGTAGCTCCTGAAAGAATACATTTTCATTCACAAAGTGGTATAGTGCCATAACAGATGGAGACTTCAAAGCTGAGTGTTATAGACTGTCTTTTATAACTTTTTCTTTTTCCCACAGCTTCATCAAATTTATTCATTTCATAGCCTAATTAACAGCTAGCACTCACTCTCACTTATAACCTAATTCACTTAAGTGAATTACAACACATTAAAAAACAGTTTAGAGGCTTCCAAACAAATAAGTAGACCAGAACATAAAATAATAAAGGGCATCATTCCTTTCAATGTCTGAATACTTGGGAAAGTAGAAGAAGCATATGTGTGTGTGTGTGTGTGTGTGTGTGTGTGTGTGTGTGTGTGTATTTATATATGCATAGACATAATCCTTCTCTCCCTTAGAGTTAAACTCTTGAATGACTTACAATAGATGAAGCATTGACTATCACAATTCTTCTCAATGAGAGTCCTTTTCTTGACTTACTTTCAACAACCATATCAAGAACAAAGATTTTTAAGTGAGACCTCACATGATGTAGAGAAATAGAAATCTGTTCCTTCACTTGATTCTCATTTGTTTAAGTTCTAGATTTAGCTGCCTAGCAACAAGAACCTCACAGTCTACAGACAGGACACAGCAACTGGCTAGGATTCCTTCCCACTCTGGCTCCATCTTCTTACTCAAGATTTGTTTCTACTTCCTCAATATGAATAGATCTGACTTTCATTCAGTTTTCCCCAAAAACTGTTCAATATGAATAAATTTCCTTACTCTGATTCTCTGTTTTCCTTCTACACTACATGACCATTTTACTTCTGTAGTTTTGCTCATACTGCTATCCTGGTCTTCAATAGGTAAACTGAAAGGTTTATAGTTTGAAGGAATGCCAACCTGCGAATATGCATATTATGATTTATACCCAGTTGTCCCTCCAAAGCCTCATGTAGTCACTGAGGCAGCTTCTAGAGTTTGTGACTAATTCATGATCCAATGCTGGGATTACGGGTGTGAGTGCTACATCTATACACAGCCTGAATGCAATATAAGGCAGGCAGAGAGCCTTGCTCTATGTCTTTGCCTCTGCCACCACTGCTTCTCCCATTTTACTCTTGCTGTTTTGCTATTTCCAGCCACCATGAACTGCTGCCTTCTACCATGTACTGCTCTGCCTTGGAGCCAACCAGCTATGGACTGAAGCCTCCACGAACTGTGAGCTAAATAAACCTTTCCTTCTTTAATTTTGGGTGTCAGATATTTTGTCCCAGCAGTACATTTAGCAAGTTTGTGGAGGTAAATCATGGAAACAAATGTACTTATTTAATATGCTCAAGAACTTATAGGATAGGGAGGTGTTCAGTAGTACCCTTAAATCTGATATCAGCCATCATCTTTGCATTACCCTTCTACTTTAGTGAGACCAGCTCTCTACCCTTTTCTTTATCAGGCTTTGCTTTTTCTCCAGCTTTCATCTCATTTGACATAATGATTTTAATCTCTATATTTGCTTACTAGGACTGCCAGCATAAAACAATGCAAATGACTTTATAGGGATATATTGTCTGACTGTGTTGGAGGGTAGAAGCTCAATATAATGGTATGCTCAGGATTATATTTCCTCTGAATCCAGTAAGAAACAATTTATTTTAAGCTTCTCTCTAGTTTTTGGTCATTTTTTGGTTTATAGCAGTATAATTCTAATCTTTACCTATTCTTTTCTGCATCAAATTTTCCCTTTACTGACACACCTACTTACACAATATAGATACAAAATTTACAAATGTCACAATTGGTCTAGGGAGATAGCTTGGTGGTCTAAGCACCTGTCTGGCTAGTGCAAGGACCCTGGTTCAAATCGCCATTCCACATCCTGTGCAGGCCTTGGAACCCCCCGTATGCCATGCTGACCACCAAAACTGGATGTGCTGACACATGCCTATAATCCTAGTTCTGGGGAGGCTGAGACAGGAAGGATCACTGTGAGTCTGAGCTTGCTTGTTGGGGATGGGTAGAGAACAAGTATTGGTGAGGATGGAAAGAGATAAATGGGATATCTATACACTATTGATGCTAATGTAAGCTGGTACAGCCAGTATAGAACTTCCTCAAAAAAATTGAAACTAAAGCTATCATGTGATTCAGAAGTTCCTCTTACAGGTCAATACCAAAGGAAATAAAAGCATTATCTCAAAGATATGTCCACACTCCCATTTCACTACAGCATTATTCACAATAGCTAAGACATAAAAACCATCTAAATGCCTATCAATGGATGAATAGATAAAGAAAATATCACATACACATTAGAACACTTTGGGGATATTATTTACTCTTTAGAAAAATAAAATTCTAATATATGTCATAATACGGATGAAACTTTACAACATTATTCTAAGTAAAATGAGCCAAGCAAAGAAAGACAGATACCATATGATCTTACATGTGAAGTTTAGCTGTGTGTGGTGGCACGGTGCCTATAGTTCTAGCCCTCAGGAAACTCAGGAAGGAAGATTGCTGCAAGTTTGAGGCAAGTCCGTGCTACAAAGTGAGCTCAAGTCCAGCCTGAACTGCATAGTGAAACCCTGTCTCAAAAACAAACAAAAAATGAAATCTAGGAGCTTGTGGGTTAGCTCAGTTGTTTAAAGTGCCTGCTTGGGCAAATTCAGTCAGGTGTAGGAGACCTCGGTTCGATCCCCAGCTCCACATGCTGTACCAGGCTGATCCTTAAGGCAGCTTGAGGCAGCCAAAAAAAACAAAAAAAACAAACCTAAAACTGTTAAGTTCATAGAAATACAGTAAAAAGGAGGCTTCCAGGCATGGAGAGATGGGGGGCCTTTTATAATTACAGTATAAAGTGTCATTATACAAAATAAAGAAATTATATTTGGTATGTAATGAATAGTGTATACATTATGTAATGAATAGTGTAAACATGATCATGGTTAACAATACTGTGTTGTAGAATTAAAATTTACTGTGTTGTAGACTTAAAATTTACTGCTGCAAGGTAGATCTTAAGTGCACTTTCTGTGAAAAAAGATTTAAAAAGAAATTAATAATGATGTGAGAGGATGTATCTTTGTTTGAAAAATATTGCTCATGATATTAGAAAAATATTGCTCTATCAAATCCAGAATATGTGATAAGGAAAATACAACATTGTCAAGTGGAATTAATCCCAGGAATGAAAGGTAGCTTTAAGTTTGAAAGTCAATCAATACAATTCACTACATAAACAAACCCAAAAACCCGAACAACAGCAACAACAACAACAAAATAAACCATAGCAAAATGTAATATTTTTTCCAAACAGAAATGCTCAGCAAACAAGAAGGAAGTTCTTTAAACCAGTAAATGGTATCTCCAATAATGTCATAATTAAAGGTGAAAAACTCAACGCTTTAGCCCTATGATCAACTACAAAGCAAACATGTCCATTATTACTACTTTAACAATGAAAGAAGAAAATATTAGATTGTGAAAATATGAAATGTATGCTTATTACTGCCTATATTATTTCTTCTAAAAATATCTTTAACTTTGTTCAAGTCAAACAGTACAAAACTCTATGTGCCCACTCTGGCCTCTTTTATAATAGTTCCAAGGTAAAACGGATCCATCACTTTGAACCAAAACTACCATTGCAAACTCAGCTGTCCCTATCCTAGAAGTCCTATACACTGTTGATTATTTTTTTCTTGTGTTTAGTTGTACTTTTTGACTAAAGTACTAATCAATACAGAATAACTTTCTAAATATGTTATCTGTGGAAAAATGTATCTTGAAGAATAGTTAGGATACAGAACAGCCATGCCAGATAACAAAATATATTGATGTTTGTGCTGGCTATTTATATTTTATATCATCACTGTGTACTTATGAACTGCAACTTCAATTTTCTGTAGCTTAAATTTAACTTTCAATTAACATTTTGTTTTTGCTATTTTGTTTATATAACTTTTTTTCCTGTATTTTAGGGAAGGGTCTACAGGGTATTCAGGATCTCACTACTAGATCAGACGCGTAGCGATTCTCCTGTCTATAGCCTCCCAAGTGCTGTGATTATAGGCATGTGCCACCACATCGAGTCTCAATTGCCATCTCAGAGCACCCCTGGGGTGGGGCTGGCACGGCAGGCCCGGGGATTGAACCCCCAGCTCCTGTGCCTGCTTGCAGGCACTTTAATCTGCTGAGCTATTTGACTGGCTCTATATAACTTTTTTTTTTTTTTTTTTTTTTTTTTTTGTGGTACCAGGGATTGAACTCAGGACCTTTGCTTGCCAGGCAAGCACTTATTCCACTGAGCTATCTCCCCAGCCCCCATATAACTATTAATACCTAATAATTTTACAGATTAATAGGCTTCACTGTGACATTTCCATACATGTGTATATGAGCATCAATCATGTCCACCCACCTGTCTCCTACTCTTCACTCACTCTTGGCCTCCTCTTCACTTCCTCATAGTCTTCTCTCCACAGACTGTCCTTTCATCTTTTAGTTTATGCTTCTTTCTTGCTTGCTTGCCTGGTGCCTGCTTGCCTGCCTGCCTGCCTGCCTGCCT